TTGTTTTGGTCTTTCTTCTGATTTTTAAAGAGCAGAAATTATGTTTTTTACAGTTCTGGTGACTAAAAGTCTAAATCCAAGTCTCCTTCATTGCCGGGAGTAATCCTGAGAACTTCTTGGTTTCTAGATGGTGCTGTGTGGTGTCTGTCTTTTTTCTCTCTGCATCTTATCTGCGCTTTTTAGTGATTAGATTTGGAATCCACCTTATTCAGTTATGATCTAACATGCCAAAGAATTCCAAATTCCCAAACAGGATTATATCCACAGGTATAGAGTTTGGGATTCTAACACCTATTGTTTTTAAAAAATATATATTTATTTAAATGAATTTATTTGTTTTTCTGAGTTTATATGATTTGTGATAAAAACAAAACAAAACAAAGAAAACCTCTTTAAAGTGTGGTGCTGCAGGATAAAGCACTGGAATGAAAGGTGGATTTGAACCACAGGTTGATGGTTCAAACTCACCAGTTGCTCCTCGGAAACCCTACACAGATTCGCTATGAGTTGGAACCAACTTGAAGGCACTTAACAACAACAATTGTGAATTGGGTGAAGGTTTACAGAGTAGATCAGTTTTCTGATCGATTTGACCTCTTGTACACGTTTTGATTCATCTCATTAACTGAGATCCCCACAAAGAGGTATCAATATCCTACTTCTTCCCTTTCCATCTGGCTTCTATCCCTGCTCCCTTCCTAACCCTTCTGAACTTTGTCCTTGGGTAAATGCCGCCCTTTTGATCTCAAATGGTTGAAAAAAGAGAATACATTTGTTGCTTGAAGCGCCCAGTGTGTGGTTATTTGTAGAAGGCAGCCTAGGAAGCCAGTGGTCAGGCTAATATAGCATAGCAGCTGGGCTGTTCCTTTCTTTCCTTCCTCCCCAGGGCTGGATAGGGAGGCTTTTTTGATAAGATTGAATCATGAGTCATTACTTCTCATCGTTAGGGGCCACTGAGTTGATTCTTACTCATAGGGATCCCATTGACAAAGTAGACTGCCCCATAAGGCTTCCTAGGCTGTAATCTTTGTGGGAGTGGATCACCAGATGTTTCTTCCAGGAAGTCTCTGGGTGGGTTTGAACCACTGACCTTTAAGGTTGGAACAATTTCACCAGAAGGGATTCTTATGCCATCACTAGCTGTCTCAAATAGAATGCTGGATATGTTTCACATGAGGCTGGTTCTGGCGCCAGTCTTCGGAGGGGACAAAGACTGAGGACTCAGGCAGAGATGAGAGATGAGCAGACGTCCATTAAAGGAGGACCCTGAGGCCGTTGGTGAGGCCATGGGCAAGGAATGATTCTCACCACCCTGTGGGCCCTGCGAGTTTGGATGATCACCCTTTCTAGGAATGCACTTTGGTTAAGTACTTTGCTTAAGATGGTCCAGTTAGTAGCGGCAGAGCTAGAATCTAAATTCAATTCTGCACCTTTAATATGAGGGTCAGTCAAAAAGTATTGCTGCAAGAGTTCCAGTTCACATATAAAGGGATTTATGTCCAACAAACATGGCTCTTCAATTAGTGGATAGTTGCTGACAACTTCTCTTAGTAATACGCTTAGTAATCTCATTAGGGTGCCTTCAAAAAAGTGAAAAAGTTCCCATCAAAACTGGCTTCTGAGAAGATCTGCTAATGAGCTGGTTAAATTCATGGCAGAGAAGTCAGTTCAGTGTATGGCAATCAGTTTACTTGAATTTCAAAGGATTGTTTTGATAGATTTTCTTGACGGACATAGGACACTCTGGGGCTTCCATGAGGAAGTTTTAAGAAAATGGAAAACTGCCTTGGTGAGAGAAAGACCAGGAGAGTTGTACAGAAGAATTGTTTCCCATCATGCCCCACTCATTCTTCCAGGGTATCATTGGGAAGTCTGACCCCATCCACACTCCATAACTAATGTTGCTACATTCAGATTTCTTTTTGTTTCCCAAACTCAAATGACATTTTAAATGGAACACATGATATGAGTCCCTCAAGGATGTCAAAACTTCCTTTTTTAAAAAGACTGGGTTTAGTGACCATAGACCAATGGAATCACCAAGACTAGGTATGGCCTTTAATGACCCTTCAAGTCTGGAAATGAACTTACCCCCATGGCTCAATCTGATCCTGTGTCAAACAGTAGACAATGTTTATAAAGAGAACAATAAACTAGAAACGTTTACCCACTAGAATAGTTAACTATTAGAAATAAAATAGGCGGCATTTATCCAAGGACAAAGTTCACAAGTGTTAGGAAAAGAAGGAGAAACGAAAACAGGAAACGCAATGAGGAGATAGGATAAGAGATGTTACACTGAATGGATTACGATCGGTGAGATGAAACAAAATGTGTATGAATAGTGGAAATGGAAAACTGATGAGCTGCTCTGTAACGTTCACTCAATTCGTAAAACAAGAAATAACACCTGCGCTTTGGAAGTGGTACAAATTGAAGAGCACAGAATTCTTTGCAGAAGGGGTTTGCGGTTGTTAAGTGCCCTCGAGTTGGTTCTAACGTAACTTAGGGTTTCTGAGGCTGTATACCTTTGCAGAAGCAGAAAACCTCATCTTTCTCCCATGGAGTGAATGGTGGGCTCGAACCACCAACCTTGTGGTTTTCAGTCTAGTGCTTATCCTATAGAGCCATTGAACTCCCAGAGAAGGGATAAAGAGATAGACACTCCACCTTCAGAAGTGTATGAACATGTTGTTGTTGTTAAGTACTGTGGAGTCGGTTCTGACCCATAGTGACCCGGCACAAGGTTTCTGAGGCTGTAAATCTTTATGGAAGCAGAAAGCCTCATCTTTCTCCAGTGGAACCACTGGTAGTTTCGAACTGCTGACCTTGAGGTTGGCAGCCCGACTCATAACCACTACGCTACTAGAGCGGATATATATAAGTTTCACATTTTGATAATTTTGTTTAATAAGGTTTCTATGATTTTGTAGCAATGCTTTTTGACTTATCTGATAAAGTCCTGGATTTAGACTAAAAAATCCAGAGTTTGACTCATCACTTACTATATAGTTGTTGTTAGGTGCTATCTAGTGATTTCAAGTCTTGGCATCTCATGTGGGTGTTAACTCTGTGACCACACTAGAACACCATGGTAGAGGTATTTCTTTTCCTAGATAAGATCTTCACGGTAGAGCTAGGTGCTAGGTTTTTTTTACCACATGGGAGGGAAGTAATCATTCACCAGGTGGTTGAAAGGGTGGAGAAGGTATAATCAGAGCAGGGATAATAGAAAGCGTAAGGGATCTGAAAATTCATTTGATAGAAAATTCATGTAATAGAGTAATGGGTATGAAAATAGGGTAATAGAGTAATGGGTATGAAGATAGTAATAAGAATACATCCACAGACACTACATCCGCAGATACTAGCAGATTCCTTTGTCCATGTGGCACTGTTGCAGGACAAAGTGTGTGCTTCTTAGAATTGGAGCAAGAGTCTCAAGTGAACTTACTGGAGATGGACCAGAGTGATGGGGGGTGAGGAGCTCAAGGAAGGAACTCTATGCTAAGGGTGGTAGGCCCTGCCTCTATGCCGGTGATTCTAATATAGGTGAAATGACACTCACAGCCTGTCCCTCAGTGTGCTGGTGCTTCCTGGGTTTTGTTAATGTTGGTTTCTGTCTCCTCTTGCTAGTCCTCCTGGCTCAGACCCAACCCTTGTAGCACGTTCTAGCTTCCAGACCACGGTTCTGCCCTTCTTGTTGTTACTCACTGTGTGTGTAGACACTTCCTTGAAGTATGGGCAAGAGAAATCTCAGCTGTGTTTTAACAATATGGGTGTTAGCCTCTAAAAGGAACCCTTATAAAATGAAGAATTTTTTAAGAACACACTTTTTAATGACTTTCTTGATTTTGGGGTAGGTATATATTTTTGAATTTTCTTAAAGCAAGATGTGACTTGTAACTAGAGTTATGTGACTTGTAACTGGACATTCAGGGTGACTCTGGATCTGCTGAGCCTGCCCCACTGTTTTGATCCCTGCATAAGGCATAATAATAGGAAGTTGGGGATCTCTGGTTCATCAGAAACTTAAGTTACATCAGTAACTAGAAAGAGTCTCCTCATGAACCGTCTCTGGAGACAAATGATTTGGCAGAATTGAGGTCAAATTCTCACGGTAACCACAAAGAAAGTAAAGAAAAAATAAAACGAAAAAATAAAAGCAAGCCCAAACCCATTGCCATTTAGTTGGTAAATGACTACCCCCCCCCACCCACTCCCCACCCCACCCCCCACACACAATCTATAGACCAAAGAAGATAGCACTGCAGGTAAAGAACAATGAACCAGTAAGTCACATAGATAGAAACTAATGACAAATGGCACAAGTTAAGTCCCTGGAGCCTTGATGTAGTGCTGCCGGTTAGTAGAGGTTGGGTTGAACTGCAAGATTGGTTTGAACCACAAGGTTGGTGATTGAAGCTCACTTCTGCTCCTCGAAAACACTATACAGGGTCACTATGAGTAGGAACCGATTAGACGGTACTGAACAACAAGTCCTTCTTATTGCTAATTACTTGTGAATGGGAATGGATTAAATGCTCCAATCAAGAGGCAGAAAGTAAGAATTAGATAACAATTTTTCAAAAAAAGTACTCATCCATATGCTATCTACAAGAGACTCACCTTAGACACAAAGACGAAAATAGGTTGAAGGTTGAAAGGATGGAGAATTGTAGCCAGAAGGGCTGGCCTGTCCCTTTACAAAGCCCTGACGTTAGCCTTGTGTTCTTGATGCGGTTTCTACATTTCCTCCTTCAGTCTGGGATCATTCTTGTTTGGGTAGACTGCAGCTAGAAGATGTCACTTCTGGCGAGAAGGGCAGCACAGCCTGGCAGTGGGCAATGACCAAACAGGGCTATTGTGTGTCACACTGACATGGCCAGGTGAATGGGCACAATCAACAGCAAGCTCTGCCTTCCTTTCAGATGCCCCTCTCCCTCCTGTGATGCTCAAAGAGAAACCATGAGCCCTGAAAAACACCATATGGTTTTGTGATGTCACCTCTGGAATGTTCTGAGTATTTGGATGACCAGCTTCGGCATCACACCTATACCTGGCACCTCACGCTGGTATGGATTTTTTGCTCGAGGTAGACATAGTACTCTTAGACAAGGATGGAGGTATGACTATCTCTGCTTCAAAGACTTCTGGAAGGCTTTTACATCAGCTAAAATAACTGTTTTAGTTTCTGTGGATCCACACATTCTTTCAGACTCAGGTCTGTATAATATCCAGGATGGGACAGAAGGAGATAAAGAAGTTGTTGTTAAGTGCCATTGAGTTGTTTCTGACTCATAGTGATGCTGTATAGGGCTACTAAGGTTTTTAAGATCTTTGCGGGAGCAGAAAGTCTCATCTTTTCTCCTACAGAGTGGCTGGTGGGCTTGTGCCTATCCGATGGATCCACCGGGTCCCTTAATAAAGGAGTAGAAAGTTCTATATTTTCTTAGGTGTGCAATTGAAGTCCAGAGTCTGGGAAGCAGAAATCTTCTTTTTCTCTTTTCCATAGAACTTCTGGTCAAATTTTACAAGTAACAAAGGTACCAGATCTGAAAACTTGAAAATTCCATTTAGTGTGGTTCTGTCAGGTAGGGATCATTACCCGTTAGCCAGACTAATGCTCCTTTTTCCAATCCTGATGTGGCATGAATGGAAGAACCAGGCCTCAGGTTCTAATTCAAGATGGCTGCTGACCAGCTGTGTGTTTGAGGAGACCACTTGACCACCCTCAGACTTGGGGTTCTCTTCCTTCACATAATGGTTTGGGCTGTATCATTCAGAAAGACTTTCCAGTTCTAACATTTCTTGTTTCTATGACATTCTGAAATGACCTGAGCTGGATTTCTAGGGAGGAATTAGGACTGAGTCTAGGACAAAATTCATGAGAAGACCCAGTACGCAGACCAAAGGGTACCAGATTATTTGGAGGTATCAAGAGAATTAAACCCTGATGGTGCTGTGGAATTAACATTGAACTTCTACCTGGAAGTTCAGTGGTTCTAACTTACCAGCCACTGTGTGGGAGAAAAGGAAGGCTGTCTACTTCTGAAAAGATTTACAGTCTCAGAAAACCTATAGAGAGTCACTGTGAGTTGGATTTGGTTTGATGGTTAGTGGGTTATGCATCAAAGAAAGTGGTGTGCAATAGCTAAGTATTCTGCTGTTAACTGAAAGGTCAGTGGTTCAAACACACCCAGTGACTCAGAGGAAGAAAAGACCATAAAGATTACAGACTAGAAAATCTTATGGGAAAGGGTCAGTGTGAGTTACAACACCACCACTCCCACCAATGTATCAAAAAAGAGTTCTTAGGTGGTGACAATGGTTATGTATTCCGCTGCTAACTGCAAGGTTGAAGGTTCAAATCTACTCAGAAACCTACTTTCAAAAATCAGCCATTGAAAACACTAGAGCACAGTTCTACTCTGACACACGTAGGGTCTCCATGAATTGGCATCAACTCCATGGTAACTGATTTTGATGAACCAAATACAGACGGCTTTTTTGAGAGATTCGGACAGAGGCCATTGAATTGGCAAAGTTCTGACAGGCTTGAAGTACCCAGATTTCCTTCTGCTGTTTCCTTGGTGGCGTTCTATTGATTGGATTCCTACCGATGCTATGTCACAAAGGGGCAGTCTTGCTTCTTCAGAGTCACCTAAGACCTTGTGTAAGGACTATGGCTGGACAGTCAGAGGGGCTGAAATGTAGGGTGGAGGAATCAAATGCAGAGGTAAGTATCTAAAAGCGCTGTCCTGGGGTGTGTAAGACGAGGATAGATCATTATATAATGCTTATTTCCTAAAGGTATCTCTTAAGAATTTTCAAAAGAAGTACTCGATTAAAAAGAAAACGCTTTCTCATTTTCTGGGGTTTATTCTGACCCCGTGTATATCAGAACAGAGCTGTGTTCCAGAGGGTTTTCAGTGATTGATATTTAGGAATTAGATAGCCAGGCCTTTCTTTTGAGACTTGAACTGCCAACCTTTTGGTGAGCTTGTTAACCATTTGTAGCACCTTGGGGCTCTCATTCTTTGTATAAAACAAGAAAAACAAGTTTGCTGTTGTTGAGTTGATTCTGACTCATGATACCCCAGTGTGTTACGGAGTAGAACTGAGCTCCATTGGGCATTCTTGGCTGTGATCTCTACAGAAATAGATTGCCAGATCTTTCTTCTGTGGTGCTCCTGGGTGAGTTCAAACTGACAACCTTTTAGTTAGTTGAGTCAAATGATTTGCACCACCCAGGGGCCTCTCTTCTTTGTTTGTTGTTGTTTGTATAGGTGGAAGATAATTTTACCAATTTGGACAAATGTGTTCAGCAGGAGGGTAAAATATAAGACAAGAAAATGTTCTGGATATTTATTTTTATATTATCCTTAAAACTTTATGGAGGAGCCCTGGTGGCACAGTGGTTAAGTGCTCAGCTGCAACCCAAAGGGTCAGTGGTTCGAACTCCCCAGTTGCTCCACAGGAGAAAGATGTGGCCATCTGCTGTCATAAAGCTTGTATTGTTGTTAGGTGCCGTTGAGTCTGTTCTGACTCACAGCGACCATATGTACAACAGAACGAAACACCGCCCAGTCTTGTGCCATCCTCACAATTGTGACTTGAGCCCACTGTTGCTGCCACATCCATCTCGTTGGGAGTCTTCCGTTCTTTCGCTGATCCTCCGCTTTATGTCATTCTCCTGCGTCTGGTCCATTCTGATAATATGTCCAAAGTATAAGAGACAAAGTTTGGCCATCCTGGCTTCTAAGGAGCATTCTGGTTGTAGGATAAGCCATAAGCTGGTGGTTCAAATCTGCCAGCCACTCCTGGGAAGCCCTATACAGGGTCACTATGAGTCAGAATGGACTCAACAGCACTAAACAACAACTCGGCCCTGGTTCCATGCTGCTGCTCTTTCTATATTCATATCGCTTCTTCTTTTAACCCTTTATTGTCTACCTGCACTTCCTCCTGCATGAAATTGCCTCTGTAAAGATTATGGCCTTGGAAATCCTCTAGGTAATTCTACTCTGCCACACAGGATTGATAATGAGTCGGAATGAACTTTAAGAAAACAGATTTTAAAAAAGATATATACCTTTTTATTAAATAGCCACTTTTCTATTCATTTTAGCTTATGAAAATATGCCAGAATATAAGATGGCTTTCTCCTGGTTATCATCAGACAGGACAACTTGTCAATGAGTTTCTGTAGTTCTGTGAACCCTGGCTTAAGTCTCATTCCACCTGAAAAACACACGTTGTTAATTTGGCCACTCTACCTCCATTGGGAGAGGGCTATTTCTTTGGTTCCCTCACAACTCATATAAATCCATGTTTGCAAAGACAAAGGCAGAGGATTCCAAGCTGGTGGTGGGAATAGGATTTGGTCATGGGATAAAGCCACTGGAAAGAGAATCTTCCCATCTACTCTTAGCTCAACGGTCCCTCCCAGCTTCCAGAAACAGGCCCAGCAGTGGAGGAGGAGAAAAGCTGAAGATGAATGGAACATGGTTAAGAAGACTCATTCTCTTCACTGCATAACCTAGGGGTGCAGCTGGGTCTGGGGGGTGGGGCGGGATGCACGTGGATGCTTATGCCCTGGATGGGCTGATGGTGGCCTCATGGTTACAGCTGACACGAAAGCACAAGCCATACCCCAGGTCCAGACACCTGCCGGTGATGCTCTAGGTAGGAGTTGGGGGAGGGTGTGGTCATCTATAAATGTAGACAAATTGAACCTTCCTACTCTGAGGATGAGCGCAACAAACAAAACCCCCAAACCAAAAAGCTGTCAAACCTAGCAAGCCATTTCTCATGGCTGGCCCATGTGTTACAGAGTAGAATTGCTCCATCAGGCTTCTTGGTTGTAATCTGTATGGTGATTTTCAGGAGAAAGACCTGTAAAATTACTTCCATAAAGATGACAGCTTGAAAAACTCTATTGGGGAATTCTTCTGTTTTATAGGGCCACTGTGAGTCAGAATCAACTTGATGGTGCACAACAACACAACAACACAAATCTCTATGCCAACAGATTGCCAGGCCTTTCTTCAGCAGCACAATGGGTGGGTGCAGACCACCAACCTTCAGGTTTAGTAGTCGAAGGCAAATTGTTGGAGCCATCCAGGGACCTCAAGGTGCTGGCTAGATCTCCCCAAAGTATTCTTCATGGCTGGCCCAGAAAACAAGATCGTATAAGATTTTGGGGAGAGCACTATCTGGCAGACAAAAATCCCCACATCCAACCCACTGCTATCAAGGTGATTCTAACCCATATATGGATTCTTAGACTGTAAACTTTTATGGGAGCAGGAAGCTCATCTTTCTTGGTGGATTTGAACTGCGGACGCTGTGGTCAGCAGTCCAGTGCTTATCATACAGTGCCACCAGGGTTTCTTTCCCATACCCATTAAAAACACCAAACAAACCCACTGCCGTCGAGTCGATTCTGACTCGTGTTGTCATGTGAGGTACAACTCATAACCATCCTTTGCATACCAGAATGAAAACACTGCCCGATTCTGCATCTCACAATTGTTATATTTGAACCCATTGCCACTGCCACTGGGTCAATCCATCTCATTGAATGTCTTCCTCTTTTTCAGTGACCCTCTACTCTACCAAGAATGATGTCCTTCACCAGGGACTGGTCCCTCCTGATGACATGTCCAAAGTACATGAGGAAAGTCTCCTTGGTTTGAAGGAGCACTCTGTCTGCACTTCTTCCAGGACAGATTTGTTTGTTCTTCTGGCAGTCCTTGGTACTTTCAATATTGTTCGCCAACACCATGATTCAAACTCATCGCTTGCTCTGTGGTCTTCCTTATCCATTGTCCAGCGTTTACAAGCATATGTTATTGTTGTTGCTATGTGCCATTGAGTTGGTTCCAATGCATAAAGACCCTGCATAGGGTTTCTGAGGAGCAGCTGGTGGGTTTGAACCACTGACCTTGCAGATAGCAGTCCAGTGTTATATTACAGTGCAACACCAAGACATATATATGAGGCAACTAAAAATACTATAACTTGGGTCAGGCACACTTATTTGCTCTTTAACACTTTAAAGAGGTCTTTGGCAGATTTGTTCAATACAATAAATCATTTCATTTCTTGACTGCTGCTTCCATGGACATTGACCATAGATCCAAGTAAAATGAAATCCATGACAATTTCAATCCTATCTCCATCAAGATGTTGTTTATTGGTCCAGTTGTGAGGATTTTTGTTTTCTTTACATAGAGTTGTAATCCATATTAAATATGTAATATTAATCCATATTGATCTTCCTCAACAAATGTTGCAAGTCCTCTTTGCTTTCAGCAAACAAGATTGTGTCATCTGCATACCTTAGGTGAGCTTTCCTTTATGTCTGATACCATGTTCTGCCATAGTCCAGCTTCTTGGATTATTTGCTCAACATACAGATTGAATAAATATGTTGAAAAGATACAACCATGGCATACACCTTTTCTAATTTCAAAAACACAGTTTCCCTGTTGTTTTATTCAAATGGCTGCCTCTTGTACAGGCTCCAAATGAGCACAGTTAAGTTTTCTGGAATTCTATTCTTCACAATGTTATATCCATCGTTTGCTATCATCCACATGGCTGAATTCCTTTGCATAGTCAATTAAATACAGGTAATTGTCTTTCTGTTATTCTCTGCTTTCAACCA